AGAGCAAAGCTGGTGAGGGGATGGGCACTCTTTGCCCTGCATCCACAGCCGTTGATGTGCACCACTGCTGCAGCTGCATGTATTACAGCAGGATGCTACCACCCAGTGAAACAGAATTCAGGGAGGAAGAGGAGTGTGCACCACAAAACACATCACTGTATGCCAGAGATGCTCAGGGTTTCGCTGAGAGGCCAGGCTGCCTTTGCCCATCCAAATCTGTCAGCCTCAAAATTAACTTACTGAGGTCAGTACTCATAACAGTGGTATTGCACTTTTGATTCAGTCTCCCTTTCTGAGAAAGCCCCATACTCTCTGGCCCAGTACAGCTATTACCTGCCAACCTAAAGGATGATGAATGTTATTTATATAGCAGTAATGGCTAACCAGTCAGTGGAGACCAGGGACAGGCTGTGCTATAGACTTTTCAAACACACTCTTGAATGAGGACTGCCCACAGGTGGCTGAGTGTATGAAACTGCTGAGACATTTCATCCAGAGGGATCTTGACACGCTTGTGAGGTGGGCTGATGCCAACCTCATGAGGTTTAACCATGCCAAGTGCAAGGTCCTACACCTGGGTCAGAGCAATCCCAGGCACAGCGACAGGTTGGGCAGAGAAGAGATTCAGAGCAGCCCTGCGGAGAAGGACTTGGGGGTGTTGGCTGATGAGAAATTGAACATGAGCTGGCTTCAGTGTGCGCTTGCAGCCCAGAAAGCAACCGTGTCCTGGGCTGCATCAAAAGGAGCGTGACCAGCAGGTCGAAGTAGGTGATCCTGCCCCTCTACTCTGCTCTTGTGAGACCTCACCTGGAGCATTGTGTGCAGTTCTGGTGTCCTCAACATAAAAAGGACATGGAACTGTTGGAACAAGTCCAGAGGAGGGCCACGAGGATGACCAGGGGACTGGAGCACCTCCCGTATGAAGATAGGCTGAGAAAGTTGGGGTTGTTCAGCCTGGAGAAGAGAAGGCTGCGTGGAGACCTTATAGCAGCCTTCCAGTATCTGAAGGGGGCCTACAGGGATGCTGGGGATGGACTCTTCATTAGGAACTGTAGTGATAGGACAAGGGGTAATGGGTTAAAACTTAAATGGGGGAAGTTTCGATTGGATATAAGGAGGAAATTCTTTCCAGTTAGGGTGGTGAGGCACTGGAATGGGTTGCCCAGGGAAGTTGTGAATGCTCCATCCCTGGCAGTGTTCAAGACCAGGTTGGACAGAGCCTTGGGTGGAATGGTTTAGCGTGAGGCATCCCTGCCGATGGCAGGGGGGTTGTAACTAGATGATCTTAAGGTCCTTTCCAACCCTAACTATTCTATGATTCTATGATTTCAAGATAATGTCCTTGAATGCCTTGGACATGATGACCTCCAACAACTCTGCGGTACTTGTGCTGACTGCACCCACACAGAGTGCTGCTGTTCTACAGTAAAGATCCTCATTCATACCAAATTCTTATCAGTTACTGTGACATGCCCTTACAATAGCAGAAAACTCATTACTCAAAAGCAAGCAGCTCCTTGATAAGAAGGCCTCTGAGTTCCTTGATTAATAAATGCAAAAATATCAGTCTACTTCAAACTGAACAGAAAACATAGATGAATAAAAAGGTGTTCTAATGAAAAGGTTTCCTGATATTTAGCTGCTGACCAAGAAATAAAGTAAATCAATGAATAAGAACTACCGAAGACGCAGATAAGTAATCCAGCAACAGTAAAACATGAAGGGCCTGATCCTATAAAAACCTGGTAGGACTAATTTAACTCTGAGGTGCAAACTTGCAGGATTAGGCTTCAACTAATTGTAGACAATTGTAAGGACTGAAAAACTATACCTTTAGCTTTCCATTACAGTGAACTCAGAGTGGGGATAGCTAACACTTCCTGCGACATACTCTTCCAGGAAAAAGGCCTGCAAAGATGCAGAAGATATACATCTAGAACATTCAATGCAGATTTCTGTCTTAGAAAAATCACAGGGACTTCTTTCATATGCACTGAGGTACAGAAACCCGAAATATTAAGTGGCATATCCACCAAGAAATGCCTGTGGAATAGGTGTCAGCCTCTCTATTATCCTTTCTACAATTAATGCTCCAGCACTGAAGTTCTAAATATTCAGCAGACACCAGTGTCCATCAGCAACCTCATTAAAATACAAGTGCTAAAGTTATACCTTACCTCTAATTACACTCTTTATACTTAAAACCTGCTTAGACAAGACCGTGTCAGATCTTCATAGCCCAAAGCCTTAAGATACCAGAGCCCAGGAAACAGACTAAGCAGAGATCAACCTCTCTTTTCTGTCAGATGAGTGGTCACTCCCAAACCAAATAGGAGAAATGAAGCGCACAGTAAGAGACTGGAAGTATTTTCTAGCCGTCTCAAATCTAGAAATCCCCTAAGAGGACTGATGTCTCGACATCTGGGCATTCCTTTCACTGTCAAACACTCCCAGAGCAATGGGGTTTGTCAGCAATCTGCTGAGCATACACAAATGACAACTGCAGAGCCTGGAGAGCTCAAAGGCATTTACAGATAGTAGAGGCTTGCCACAGATGTGTTGAACCACAGCCGAGATTAAAGGACATGTGAAAATTAAGCCAAATAGCGGTAAAGTCTTTAGCTGTGGTAGTTTGTATAGGCACCACAATATGCAAAATTCAGCCTGGGTGTGCTTTACAATTAACACAAATCGTTTAAGGGAGGCTGATCACCCTCCATATGTCATATACTACACAGAAAAGGCTGTTGGGACGAATTTGGAAGGTGGTCTTTGCTGTCTAACCTACTAGTCCATCTATTACTCAAATACATGCAAACGAAGCACAGTTTATAAACAAGTTTTGGGTTGTCCCAAGTACAAATTTCAGGGACGATGGATTTAAAGCTCTTTCCAGCACCTACATCTCACCTAATGGCTCTCTATCCCTCATAGATTCTCAGCCTGTTGCCCCACCATGATCTACATATCTTCCTAAATCTTTTCAAATACCTTCTTGACAAAGGGATATGTCCTGCTGGTACAACACAGAGATGCCTTATATCAAAGATTTTTGCTTTAGGGACAGAAGGGCCAAACGTTTTCCAAGTCAGCTGTATTTTCAATAACCTGTCCATTTTGCATTTTCAGAATAGGTTTACCCACTCATGATAGCATGAACTTCTTGAACCCTCCATCCTCCAATCCAGCCAGCTATACAACTTTGCACCAAACTTTTTATATCATCAAATAGATTTCTTTTTCCTGGCATCCTAAGAAAAGTTAAATCTTCATTCAGCTGCAGTCAGTACAAAAGCGTAAGTTAGTTCTGTGGTGTTCAAGAATACCTGGTTAGACTCTGAGGCCATACATTCTTCTGCTAAAAGTTATATTATCACATCCTTGTCTAAATATTTTTGCTTCCTTTGTCTGCCAAAAGCAACACCTACAACTGCTGTAAATGAAAATGACAAGATAAAAATGTTTTTCACCAATTTGTCACCCTTTTGTTTGTTTTTTAACAACACTAAATGTATAGTCTAGTTCATTAACAGAGTTTTTCCTGTTTGTATTTACAAATAACAAGGAAGAGACAAATGTGTTAAAAAAGAAAGGAATGGAATTGTTAAGTACAACAAAAATGGAAACGGGTTGGTGCAGCACCTAAAACCATTTTATACATTTGAAAAGGAAAAAATCATAGTATCATAGAGTCAGTTAGGTTGGAAAAAGCATTAAGATCATTGAGTCCAACTGTTAAGCCAGCACTGCCAAGTTCACCACTAAACCATGTCCTTAAGTGCCACATCTACACAATCTTCTAAATACCTCCAGGTATGGTGAGTGCATCCACTTCCCTGGGGCAGCCTGTCCCAGTGCTTGACAAACCCTTTCCAGTTAACTTCCAAGTTGCCTCACTTAATTGCTTTCAACTACAGCAGCATATAAGATGGCCATCATGTATTTTCATGTGATCTTCTTGCTCAGCACTCTCATTATCAGGTTTTACCTTTATTAGTGGGGTTCTCAGTCTCTATGCTTTATGAAACGGGTCAATAATGAAGTTTTTCACCACTTATGCATATTTACAGCTTTACTAGTAGAACTACAGATCTTTTGCGAGTGGGGAGTTGTCATCATGTATATATCACAAAGGATAAAATACAAAAGCAGAAAATGTCATTAATTTTCCTTCAAGCAGATGGTTTTGCAGTATCACTGAGCAAGTTTATATTAATGATTTTCAGAAAGAGAAGGAGATGTCATATTTGAGATGGAGAACCCTACCAAGCCCACTAAGAACTATCAGTACGTCCAACAATAGCGGGATTCTTTCATTAACTCACTGTGACAGCTGTCAAGCTGGGGAAAACTTTTTGTTAATGTCAGTACAATTGTTCATTTAAACAAAAGCCAGTAATTGAGTCATGCTGGAACAGCTTATGTGCCCAGCTCTGCCATACAATCTGCACACAGGTGTTTATCACATATGCAGAGTCGCACTTTAATTTTCATCTTTGGGGCTACAAAGTGATTCATCCAGAGCCTGAGCAGAGCCCTAAAAAAATCAGGCCAGAAGGCAATTTGTGATTGAGTTATAACAAGTTGCCCATCTTCTCCCATGTTAAAGGGGGAGGTTTGGCACCCCAGGCTAACAGCCGGGGTAGGACATGTTCCCTGCATGCCAAGCTAACCGTGTAGTTGCCCTTCTTCCTTGTGCCCTCAAATTAGGAGAACACAACTATTGGTAGAGATGTCACCTCACTCTGTGTGCAGTGACAGACTGAAGTACCAAAGATGTTGACTGCATCCTCCTTGGGGACCCCGTGTGACCCCGTGTGCCACAGCTTGAGCTGGAGTTCACAAGGAAATCTCAGTATAGGTTTTGGTACTATCACGGTGTCTTTGCCACCAGTAAAGATCCTGTTAACTACCAACACTCAAGGCTGGGCCTGTATCATTAAGGTGATTTTCTAAAATCAAAAATCAACTCAGAAAAAGAAATGGAATAAAGTCCTTACCTCCTCGTAGACATCGTCATTCCTGCTGAAGTCTCCGCTCCTCCTTGGAAGCACATGGACATGAACATGCTGAAAACGTGAAACAAAATAATGGTGATTATCAACATCCTGACTTTCTTTTCTGGATTGTCAGCATTACTGTCAACACACAAGTAACCACGCACAGGCTCCCACAGCATTATTTTCAGAAGGAAATACATTAAACTGTTCCATAACTGTATCTCAGCTCTTTGGAGAATATAAAAGATGAAAAACAGAAAAATATGAGAGAGCAGCTCTGCTGTATTATATGGGCTTCAGCATGAAATGCCTGGACGTTTAGGGGCTTTGTGGAATGATTCATAGTTGTCAGTCGGAAACGTATTTAGCCACAGCTTTGAAATTACAATGTACCTTGGAGCTGCGTGTTATGACTTCAGAACTGACAAGACTAAGAAGGTGCCAGCGGTGGGACATGGCTGTAGCAGTTGTGGGCAGAGGGTCTGTGTGGGCATTCCTAGGCTCAGTGCCGTGCTGCACAAGCTGGGGACAGAGGAACTGATGGGACACAACAGAGACCACGCAGGTAGAAAGGCTGTCAGAAAAGAACACTCACCAGGGTGTACAGTATGGCTAACGCAATGTCTTTAGCAAGGCTAAAACCACCTTAATGCTTTGCTTTACCTTCTAGGAGCTTATAGCTAGAATAGAATCATAGAATCAACTAGGTTGTAACAATAGACTGAAACACCCTGTGGTACGAGGAGAATGCTGGGGGCACAAGCTGCAGGGTCATGGGTGCCAGGGCACCAAGTGGTCCCAAACACGTGAGGCACAAGAGTTATGAGCCCAGTTTTGCAAAGCTTGAAGCATAAGTGTCACTCTCCTGATGGCAGCGCCATTGCTCAGGGGGTAGCAGAGCTGAGGACTGTGAGATAATACCAAGTATTGGAGGGAGGTGAGGGACAATTTTGCCACAGATGTTGATGAGATACATGGAAAAAGAACAAAAACATGGACAAGAAAGCAAATATATGACTTGCCACCTTACCAGCTTGATGTTGTATTATTACTACTGCTACTTTTTTTTTTTTCTGTTAAGAGATGATGACAGTCTCTTCATACCATATAGGAAGGATAACTCAAGTTTTTCAATACTCAAACTGTACCAGGAAATCAAATGCTCAGCTACCTACTTCTCAGCAGAAAGTTCAGCTAGAACATTGGAAAGTGTTCTTTTATCTTTTCCCAGGTCTCTTTCACTCTCTTCTGAGAATAAAAAAACAACAAAACCCAACTGAGAATAATTCTTCAGGAAAAAAAACCCTCACAGACAACACCTCATAGAGGAGAGGCAGCAAATGATCTGAGTGACAGATTGCATTTATGCACCTCCAGATCATTTTAGATGGTGTCCAAATCCTTCAAAAGAAAACCACAGAAGACTGAATCAGAAAGAGCACCAAATGATTTACAGAGAATTTAAACAGCTTGCACCTGCCTCAACTTGATGAGGTAGAAATCAGCTAAAATTCATGCCCCTCATTTCAACGTTCTCAAAACAGGGTGCAAGTCTATAATGAAATCCCAAAGAAATAAAAAATTCTTAGGTTATTTGTAAGAAAATTCAAACACACCTTTATTGTGTTAACTTCAATCCATAAAAACATTTGCTCAGCGAAGAAAATGAAATCACAAGGATGTTTCAGCTAATGAAATTTTCCAAATACCACTCTTTTCTCTCAGCTTACCCTAGAGAAACCAAAGATGCGATTGCTTATTCTTATCATTATCAACAGTTTTCAGATTCAGCCTAGAGATGAGGATGGTTCTTGAGGGTCAAAACCTGGTTTTTTTTGAGTAATCAGTGATCGTGTTCTGATAGCGTATTATACTAATACAGCATGAAAGCGCAAGTGCTCTTGTGATGTACTGGTGCAATGTATCATCTGAACCTCATTGCTCTCATGATGTATTTCTCAAAATCACAAGGAGAGCTTAAAGATGGTCTTCAGTAGCCCTAGGCCTGAAATGTTGGTTTTGGACAAAGACTGACTTTCAAGAAAACTGAAAATGAAGACGAAAGTTTGCAGCGATGCTGTAAAACTCCAGCACTGTCACACCTCTGATTCATGCTAGATTCTGAATTTAGTCCTAAGAACAGAGAATGATCTGCCAGTCAGTTTCTTTCTTTTCTGCCACAAGGCGTGACAGCTTTACTACAAATATCAATTGTCAGGAATTTCTCTTGATGATTGTCATGTTTTAAGCCCAACCAGTAACTCAGCCACTCAGCCCTCACTCACTCCCCCCCTCTTAGTCTCCTGCTCCCGGAGGGATGGGGAGGAGAATCAAAAGAATGTAACTCCCATGGGTTGTGATAAGAGCAGTCCAGTAACTAAGGTATAACACAAACCACTGCTGCTGCCGCCACCAATAATAATGATAAGGGAAATAACAAGGGAAGAGAATACAACCGCTCACCACCCGCTGACCGATACCCAGCCTGACCTGAGCAGTGATCTAGCCCTTCTGGGTAACTGCCCCCAGTTTTACATCCTGGGCATGACGTGCTGTGGTATGGAATACCTCTTTGGTCAGTTTGTGTCAGGTGTCCTGTCTCTGCTTCCTCCCGGCTTCTCCTCCTCCTTGGCAGAGCATGAGACTCACAAAGCCCTTGGTGAGACTAAATATTACTAAGCAGCAACTAAAACCATCGGTGTTACCAGCGCTGTTCCCAGGCCAAAAGTCAAAACCACAGCACTGCACCAGCTACTAAGAAGGAGAAAAATGACTGCTACTGCTGAACCCAGGACAATGATACATATACAGCCTAATATCAGCTATCACCAACCATATCCCCAAAAGTCCAGCTGCCTTTCAGAGTGATTTTTATCTCTGTGTCAGAATGTTCCAGGATGCAGGCAGAAGATGATCTGTATACCCACAACAGGCAATCTGGTGTATCAAGAAGTGTGCAGGACTGTAGTCCAATGCTCAGCACAGAGATAGTGTACCACAGATGCAGAGACCAGCACAGCAGGTAATGAATGAGCCTAACATGATCTTCTACCCAAGAGAAGCTCTTGTGATCACCATGAAAAAAAGAAGAAAAAGTGTTTATGACAGCATATGTGCCACCTGGCATCAGTGGAGACATTCTCAGGGGTTAGTCACCTTTACTACATGCATTATGTTCTTAAACAACACGAGGCTTTATAGCTAAATCCATCAACTGCATCAGAAAACAAATTAGTATTTCCAAAGTTTGAGGTAACTAAAATCAATTTAAAAGACAGGAACTTGTCCCAGAAAGACCAATTTCTTTTAAATTCTGTGCATGGAACATAAACAAACATACGGATTCTCTCTACTGTTTGTGTAACAGAAGTTAACAGGATTGGCAATGGTGTCTCAAGTAGTTTCCTTCTTTTCAGCTTTACCAAGAAAACACAGTGAAATACAAGCAGCACAGAGCAGTGGCTACCACCTAGTGAGAAACACTGAACAGGTGATTTCACACCTTCTCTAATCTGCCTTTCAGCTTCTGGCCCTTCCAGCTCGCTGGTATTCTGATTCATTAAGAGTTCTTTAATTGATCATTTTTGCTCCTTAGTGCTATCTGTTTTCCCTAAAGCCTCAATCCACCAAGGCACTTAAACACCAGCTCAATTTCCAACCTGTGAATTGGTTCAGTGGGAGTATTTGCATCCCAGATATTATGTGTATGCCTCTGTGTTTTGGATCCACTACAGGGAGGTGTCTCCCCAGCTGGTGGTAGAAGAAATTCAAGTTGCTTTCTTCCTTCCAGTTTGTTTTCCAGGCAAAACAAAAACCTGCATGCCCAAAAAAGACATTTGCAGTTGACTGAAACGTGTCAGTGGATACAAACAAAACATTTGGCTACATATTTTTTTCCAAACCAAACAAACAGATTTAGGCAAATCCCCTCAAAACAGTGCATGGAGACAGAAAGTCCAAACACTGTGTATACAAAATAAAGTAAAATAAAGTACTTCAGCTTTTCTCCCCAGTTACTGTTGGTTTCCTCATGGCTGGTGGGTGGCAGACAGCCCCATAACATTTCACCAGGCTGCATTCAATCACTGGTGATGCCATTTCATTTTTTCCCTAAAATAAAATTGCTTTCCCCTCATTTTGCATCATTTTTATTAATAAGAAAGAAAAGCACCACAGAACAGCCAAGATAGTTACATTAATGAATGAACCAATATCCCCCGCATCAGGGTAGGAAAAATGCAGACACATGGCTGTGTTGCTTGCAGTGCTAGCTGCCATTTCCTCCTCATCAGACACTGATGGAGAAAGATGTGCGTGATCACAGGAGATGGGCACACTGGGTATGACAACACCAGGACACAACAATATGCCCCCAGGTGAGGGACACACAAAGAGCACAAAATCACAGAATGGTTTGTGTTCAAGCAACCTTAAAGCTCATCCAGTTCCAACACCCCTGCTACAAGCAGGGACACCTTCCACTATACCAGACTGATCAAACTCCCATCCAACCTGACCCCCACCAGTTGCTTTTGATAGCTGAATTTTACAGGACCTCCAAATCTAAAATTATTACATCTTTTCTAGTGCTGGGTCTGTGGCTTTCTCTGTGGCTACCACATTATAAACTAAATCACAGTCTGAGAAACTCCTAACGGTGAGAATTATTAAGTGATGCAAAATCACTCTTAAGAGAAGCTTTTTCAAGACCTTTGTACCCAGAATGGCAAGAGGATTAGAAAATGTACTGCAAGGAACAGATCTGTAGTGCATGGGGAAACCATGTGATGTCTCTGACCCCCCACCACAGTGATAGGATCCTCCACTCAAGCCCTGTGGCATTCCCAGCATGACTGTGGGAGCAAGAAGCTCTGGTGGGCACTGTGGAGCATGCTCATCCCACCTCTGCTGAAATCTGGCAGCAGCACTGTGGCATTTGTGGGATTATACATCTAAATTGTGGGATGACACATCTAAAGTTGATTTCCGGTGAACCAGGGCTGCAAAATGCTCACTGAAGTCTCAGCTGAACAACCTGGAGCCTGTTTTGTTGGAAAAACACCCATTCA